AAACCCTAAACTCCCACCTGCCCTCCTGTGCTGAACCCTAAACCCTAAACTCCCACCTGCCCTCCAGTGGTGCTGAAGGAGATGGCATGGGCCATCTTCCCCTCCACAGGTTCCAGGCTCCGGAAAGACTCTTTGGCCTCGGAGGGCTGTAGGATTCGGAATTTCAGGGTGGGTGGAGGGTGCAGGGGTCTTTTAGGGCTTTTTCGAGTTGAGGGATCAGGGTTTAGACTCTATGGCCTCAGACATGCCATGGAAGTCGAAGAACTTGAACATGCCGTCCATGCTTCCTGCTATCATCCGAGAGCCCTTAGGATCCAGGCCCACAGCCGTCACTGCCTTGTCATGGCATGGAATGTTCACCTCATGGCTGACGGGCAGAAGTTCATTCTCCTTTCCGGGCTCCGGGAGCTCATCGGGCTCTTCAACCGGTGCCGGGGCACGCTGCTTTGAGGTGACGAGGGGCCCCGTTGGAATGTCGTCCTCTTTGTCTTCGGCCTCCTCCGCCTCTGCCGCCTCTATAGCTGCCTTATGCAGCCGGGCGGTGGCGCCGGCAACAGAGGCTGCATCCTTTGCCCGGTGACCAAACTGCACGCCTCCAGGCTTTGCGGCTTTCTCCTGCCCTCGAGCTCCTTTCTGCGCCCGCTGCGTGGCGTTGTGTGCTTCCGGGCCGACAGTCTTTACGGGCTTCTGCTTTCCAAAGGACAGAGGCATGTTAAAGCCCTTCAGCTCTTGCATCTCCATAGGCATCTCGGTGTCGGAGCCATCGCCTCCCATCTGGGAAGGGAAACTGCTCGTCTCCCCCATGCTTGTCGAAGTCTCCTCGGGTTTTGGGGCCTTCCGTGTGGGACCGGAGTAGCGATTCGACGCCCGCATGGCTTTCATCTCCTCTTCGTCGGAGTCCATGGTGCAGGCACGGGCCCGCAGCTGCCCGAGGTGCAGCTGCGACGACTTTGCTTCACGGTAGGCCTACAACAGCGATTGCAATTGGTAACATGCAGTGGCCAAGGCTTGTATTCTAAGACACAGTCGACGAGCTCTACAAGCAAGCGACGTCCTGGTGTGGCATGTGCCGCGAGATGTGCTTGCTAAGCGGTGTGTCAACCTTTCTACAGAAACATCAGGTGGCAAAGAGTGCTACGGCCACTCATGACCTGTTTGAGCTGGCCTTCTAATCTAAGGAGTGATCTAAACACCTCAGCCAAAGATGCGGCACGAGCAAATCGGATCAGGCTGCTGGTCTCTGCAAGCTAGCACTGCGAACTGCAGTCTCAGAAGTTGTTGATCTCATCCTGGTCCTTACCTTAAGGACGAAACGCACCCTAAAAGGGTTTAGGGTGCATTTACCATATAGGGATTCGTAGCATAAGGGTATAAGGCCCCTATTTTGAATGGTCATTTGATCCTTAAGGTACTTTCACTAGCCACTAGCATGTCCGAAATCGACTGTCCTTCGCTGCTCGAACACGCTCCGCTTGGGTCGGCGCCGTGGCCATCTCCTCCGCCAGACCTGCCGCAAGGAAGAAAGTACAAGGATCCGTGCCAAAAACTGATGTGTTGAAGGCAGCCTCCTTATCCGTCTTCGAGCCATGGAATCTGGAAGGACATGGTCTTGGGAAAGCTTTGAGGGCTTCACCAGGTCCACAACCACAAACGCGGATCCCCAACTCACACCCTTTTTTTGAACCCAGTCTCTGATCATCAGCTGGGGGACTCACACCCTAAACCCTAAACCCTAAACCCTAAACCCTCCCAATTCGGGCGTAGCGGTTTCGGATTTCAGACCTCGAGCCACGCCGGGTCGGAAGGGTCCCAGTTTGCAGCGCTGGATGTATTCCTTGCGCAGATCTTTGCGTCTACGGCTGCTTGCACCACGAAGTTACAACTACCAATGCCGGTCTGCTGCAGAAATCAGGTCCAGTAGGATGACATTTGCGAGAGATACCTTCACTGAAGGTATGAAACCGCGGGGCTTTCCGCTGAACTTGGTACGACGACGACTACTTCTAGCCACTACCACTCCTACTACGACGACGACTACTACGACTACTACCGACCGCTACCATGTTCTTAAAAGAGTCTAGCTGCTCACAGCTAGATCTTGTCTGTAAGTTCTGCCACAACAATGCTCAGCAACCAAACGCTTCTTCCGGGGGTACTCAGACCTCGATCCGCCGTTTTTAGGCACGAGGTTCTTCAAATGCGTCGCCTAAGCCCTTCTTCCATCAAACTTCCCAAAATCACTCCCAATTTAGCGGACATGGTGTCCTACAACCATGGGGCTTACTGAAACTCTCCATAAAATCCTACCGTGGCATTCGGTACATTCTCAATCGAACAAGTACAACAAAGCCTGCACCAAAACCCGCTGTATGCAAGTGGCCCGGAAGCAATCCGCCTGGAATCCGGCCAGCTAGCCCCTGAACCTTCGAACTTAATGCTTCCGGCCCCCTTGATTGCAGTCAGAAGTCGTCAAGTGCAGTCAGGTCCGCAGGAAGCAACTCCCGGATTCCTTCCCAATTGATCAGCTTCTTGTGCGGGAACCCTAAACTCTAAGACTTACGACTTCTTCTTCCTCTTGCCAGCTGTCGTGTTCAAGTCCCCCGTGAGAAGTTGCGGGGTACGTGGAGGTTCAGTCAGAGTCGGGGCAATGTAGAAGCGTTAATAATTAGAATAGGGCTTTGGGGTTCTTTTAAAAAGGTTCTATAAGGGCTACTATAAGGGTTTGAGGTTTAGCGGCCTAAATAACTAGAATAGGGTTTGGGGGTCCATTATGCTATAATTATAAAAAGGAACCCCCCGAAAGAATATAGGTAATTCTTTAGGCCCCTATAGTACTTGAATCGCTTCACCACCGTGACTGCGTACTCATGCTCCAGACACATGTCGCCAGCGTATAGCTTACAATCGGTCAACCTCCGTTACAAGCACAACCTAGTGGCTCATCAGGTTTTCCTCTCAAGTCTAGACGAAGCCTATGCTGGTTCTCAGAGTACTGACCACTGTTGAAACATCCACCCATTTCTTGGTGCTTCTTCTCCACTTGAAAACGGTACGTATCAGTTCGTTCGTGAGTGCATTTGCGCGGAGTTCTGCGGATGAAGGCATTGCATGACTTTCAAGCTGCTCTGCTAGCATGAAAAAACCTAAACCCTAAACCCATAAACCCATGAACCCTAAACTCCTAAACCCTCAACCCATAAACCCCTAAACTCTAAACCCCCGACCGCGCACATGCCAAGCTTGATTAAACTCGGAGCCTCAGGGCCCTAAACCCATCCACACCCTGAGCCCGAAACCCTTCTGTCCCACTTCGAAAATTCCGTAAACCCATCTAAACTGTGACCCCTACATTCTACATGACCTCAGCTCGCACCATCAATGGCCGACTTTGGCAGGGGAAGATATAGGGCTGGCCGCTTGAAGAACAGGGCTTTGTGGTCTATGATGGACAAAACGGGTTTAGGTTTAGGGTTTAGGGTTTAGGGTTTAGGGTTTAGGTTTTAGGGATCGACGAAGGGATAGGGCCGATAGGGGGCTGGGCTCCTGTAATAGCATGTTTTCAGGTCCTGCACGAGCACCAGCGTACACACTAGTCGCTGCTACAGGTCCTACAGGTGCCGCAGCCAAGAAAGACGAACAAGCGCCCAAAAAAAGCTCTTGGGTGGCATGTCTGGCGCTTCAAACATGAGTTGCTGTGCTCCTCTTCATGGTAACAGGCGGCAGGAATCCTAAACCCTAAACTTTGGGCATTTCGCGCGCGAAACCTTATGAGATGCCGAGGCCTGGCCCACATCGCCCGTTAGCGATGAGCTGCAAAGCGAGAAACTTCCCATCCACAAGCCTCATGCAAACTTTTTGGTTCAGGGCTTAGAGCTTTAGAGTTTGGGGAAGGTTCGAGGACCCGACCCCCACTAAGTCACTGGGTGAACTCGCAGTGTAACGGACTTTGCTTCGTCAAGCGGATATTAACTGGTGGCTCGAGCCTTAATTAAACCCTACACACTTAAACCCAAAAACCCTGAACCCTGAACCCCAAGTTGTCGGGTTTCGACTCACACACTCGCAGATCGAAGGCATGTCAATAAGTGTCCGAGTTTTCGGGTTCAGGGTTTAAGGCTTTAGGGTTTTTTGCCGCAAGCCTTGTCAGCGACGTTGTTTGCAGCTCGGCCCCAGAGGATGCCTACCAACTGTTTTGACGAGGTGTCCTCATCTCATGAGAGGGCACCCAGTGCCAAGCAACACGCTTCGGCTCGTGATCTTGTGCGAGTTGCTAGACTGCCGCTGGTTCGGCCCGGTTTGGGGGATTTAACCCGGTTTGCAGTCCCGGAACCTGGGCGTTGAGTTTCGCTACGACCTCCAGGTGGTTCCCTTCTCTTTGCATAACCCATTGTTTTCGAACTTTGGACGGTTTGGAAGGGGCGTCATGATCGTTTGTCAAGCAGCAGCAACCATCTGCTGGTGTATAGCGCAGTGCAGAATCAACTGAAGATGTGCAGCAGCTCCAGCCTTTTGGGGGTCTGATTTGGGTTTGTGGTCATATATTATGGATTTTGGCTTTTGTCAAGTTAAACCCAAGTCGAGCAAAAAGTTAACAACCCTTTCAAAAAACACTTTGGTTTTTGTCAAGTTAAGTCCAAGTCAAGCAAAAAGTTAACAACCCTTTGAAAAAACACAGCAACGTTTTTACAGGAAAACCTTCGGAGAGACCACCGTCGCACTCTTTCGGCGCACCCTTGAGCGGGATGGGAGTTTAGGGTTTAGGGTTCAGGGTTTTAGGGTTTTAGGGTTTAGGGTTTTTTGGGTTTTAGGGTTTTAGGGTTTAGGGTTTAGGGTTTGGGGTTTAGGGTTTATATTTCTCTTATACTGAAAGCCTTCAATCGGGCCTTGAAAACCTAGACAAACCCAAAACCCCTGACCCAAGGAACCCTAAGACCCCTCAAACCCGCAAGCCCAAAGATTCAGCCTTGAATCCTCAGGCCCTCAGGAACCCCAAACCCTCAGCCGCAAAACCCTGTACTTCCCTTACACCCTTAAAAGAGCCCTGGAAGGAGCCAAAAGCCACCCAGTGGTGCCGCTGTGGAACGTGTGAGGGCTCTGTTTCGAAGGCTCGGTGCGGAGCTTGAATGGCCTCGGCTCTCACCAAGGCTCCCTTTCTAGGGGCACTTTGACTTTGCTAAATCCTAAACCCTTGGGTAGTAGGGCACTACCCGGGTCACTACCCTTAACCCTCAACCCCTGTGCTAAAAGTCTAGTAAAGGGGAGGGCTTTGGGGTTTTGACTCTTTCCCATGCACCTATCAGGTCTAGGGTTAATGTAGGGGCCTTAATAATTAGAATAGGGTTTTGGGGCCTATGACACTATACTTATAATAAGGAACCCCCAAAATGGGGGGTTTCCGAAAATAGGGGACCCTAATATAGCACCCTAGATAGTAGGATCCTTATTATAAGGACCCCAACATCAGGCAACCTACTTCTCGGAAACTCCCAAATAATGTAGGTAATTACTAAGGCCACTATATTACAGGGCCGAGGGCTCGGAGCCTGGCGAATCCGAAGACGTCTCACCATCCTCAAGGACCCCTATACTCACAAAGCCCAAGCAGTTAGTGGTCATGGGGGTTTGGGGTTTAGGGTTTAGGGATGGGGCCATATCAGTGTAGAAGCACATTGAGGAAGGCTTTTTGAGAGCCAAGGGTTCGGGGTTTACGGTTTAGCCTTCAGGAGGTGTGGGAAGTAGTTCCGTCTGCTCGGAGGTGCGGCGCCCAAGGCTGCTTGTAGGAGAAAGTATCCGTCAAAAGGCTTCTGAAACCCAAAACCCTTTTGCATCCAGGCCTAGACTGCAGGGAACCCTGAAGAAAGAACTCGGGGCCAGAACCCAAGTCCTAAACTCCAAACCCTAAATCTAACTACACGGGTTAGGGTTTAGGGTGTAGGGTGTAGGGTTTAATTCCACCCACAACCCCACAACCGGCCGCGCGGCGGGTATGGCAGGAGCTGGATGGGGAAGTTCGTGAGGGGGCACATCAGCTGCTGGCGCGACCTCTGAGTTCCAAGTTCAAAGCATTCCGATACTATGTATGTGTATTTACACACACACATATATATATATATATATACGTACATACATACATACATGCATGCATACATACATACATATGTACATATATAAAACACGTGTGTAATTATATATGTACATGTAGAAAGAGAGACTACAGTGTGTGTAAACATATACATATATATGTACAGAGTGTAGCATACTGCGTATGTATGTATGCATGCATGTATGTATGTACGTTTGTCTGTCTGTCTCTGTCTCTGTCTCTGTCTCTGTCTCTGTCTCTGTCTCTGTCTCTGTCTCTGTCTCTGTCTCTGTCTCTGTGTCTGTCTCTGTCTCTGTCTCTGTCTCTGTCTCTGTCT